AAGAAACAGAGAGGGAGGGAGGGGGGAGAAGGAAACAGGGAGGGAGGGGGAAGAAAGAGGGAGGGAGGGGGAAGAAGGAAACAGGTAGGGAGGGAGGGGGGAGAAGGAAACAGGTAGGGAGGGAGGGGGAGAAGGAAACAGGGAAGGAGGGGGAAGAAAGAAACAGGGAGGGGGAAGAAAGAAACAGGGAGGGGAGGGGGGAAGAAATAAACTGACGGGAGGGGGGAGAAAGAAACTAACAGGGAGGTGGGGGGAAAGAAACTAACAGGGAGGTGGGGGGAAAGAAACTAACAGGGAGGTGGGGGGAAGAAACTAACAGGGGGGAACTAACAGGGAGGGGGGAGACATTGACAGGGAGGGGAATTGACGGGGAGAAGGAAATTGACAGGGAGGGGGGTGTGACAGGGGAGGGAGGGGGAATGAGAGTAACAAGGGAGGGGGGGAGAAGAGAGTGACAAGGGAGGGGGGAGAGATTGACATCCATCACACACACACACACAATCACAAACAATGCACCCCTTACACACAAAGACAATGAACCCCTTGCACACAGAAAAACACACAATGCATAACACACACACGCAATGCAACCCTTACACACAATGCATCCCTTACACACACAGAAACACACAATGCATTCCTTACACACACTCAATGCACCCCTTAAACACACTCAAAGCACACACACTTCATCCCTTACATACACAGAAACACACCTTGCAGCCCTTACACATACAAACACAGATTCACACAATGCATTCCTTACACACAAATCAGGACATCCCCTACACACTCCACCCCCTGTGAACAAACTCATTGGTGGAACATGAAGGTGGACCCTGGGACCCAGACCTTGAGCTGTGTAAAGGGCCCCCAAAAAATGGAGCTGCTTCTCGTTCTCCCAGAACATTGATTTTTGTGACCACAGTTACAAACAGCCTCCAGAGATCCTGTTATACACCAGACCAGTGGAGCCAGACTGCAGCTAGAGCCCATCATCATCCTCATCTGCTTGTAAGTAGGTAATCTAGTATATTATTCGTGGCACTAATCTCTAATTTACCTCACATTAAAGAAACACTATAGTCCCCAGAACCACTGCAGCTTAATGTAGTGGTCCTGGTGTCCAGCCTGTCCCTGCAGGCCTTTTAATGTAAACACAGCGGCACTGCAGCACTAGCGTTAGTTAACATGGCAGGTCATATGGGTGGGGCATTGTGATGTCACGAAGGGTGGGGGGGCGGCAAACTTTACTTTTGCCTAGGGCGGCAAAAATCCTTGCACCGGCCCTGCCTGAGCTTGTCTCCACAACACCACTACCCTCGGTGCCTGAGCTTGTCTCCACAACACCACTACCCTCGGTGCCTGAGCTTGTCTCCACACCACCTCTACCCTGCAGTGATTATAAATGTTTCTAGCTGTCTCACCCAAACACTAGTCGAGACTTAGTGAAGGGTGAACAAAAACACTTATTGAGAACAAGGCACACTTTAATACATACAACCCCATGGTTTGAAAAATGTAAATTCCACCATGGCGCCTCCAAGTTTGGGACATAACTAAGTCGCTAACTTAATTACATCCAGACATCAAGGCACCATTACAATATACCCGAAAAAGATAGGAAATAAATAGCCAATATATGTTTTATATCACCAGGTAGCCCCCGCCACCCAGGTATTCAAAAATCATCTGCCTCGCAAAAGGCAAGATTCTTTTTATTTTTAATACCAACTGAAGTTGGCATTTTCCAGAGATGTTTCTGATATTATTGTGACAAAAGAGTGCCTGTTAAATTTATTAGGATGCAATTACACTTTCATCTATTCTGTTTGTTTAATGAGAAAAACATATATCTATATGCACACACACATACATTGTTTATTGTGAGGTTTCCAAAGATGTAATTTATTCCAAAGAAATCTTCTGTAAAAGAGAATTTCTAACCATTATTATTTTATGCTAAAATTAACAAAACTTTAAATTGAGCAAGTGTTAAGACAGCTGACCAAACCCCGGGTCGAATAAATCTACTTAAAACTCAGACAACAATACAATAAACCTGGGTAACTATCTCAACATTGGTAGAGATGGATCATTAAATGTACGTTTTATTCCATTGCTCATCTATTACTTTTGTAATTTCAAATAAACACACACGGACTCATATTACTGAAAAAAAGCATCTCATTTATTTTAGAGTACAACTCAAAGTTGCATGAACTGCTCAACAAATCTTGTTTTGAGCACAAGATTTTTACACTGAGCACCTTAAATTAAAATTTCATTCTGGTACTTAACCCAGCACACAAAATGGAGAGCTAGCCGTCTGCCAATGCTTGCATTCTGCCCTTGTGCCGGAATTAGGATTTTGTTCATCTGGATCAACAAATAAACAATGTCTTAAAAAATACTTAGCATTTTTCTTTAACACAAAACTGCTATTCACGTATTTTTTTTGTAAATCTAGTTTTAGAAACATAATACTGGGGCAGGGGAGCTTTAAAAAAAATAAACATTCTAGTTCATATCAGAGGGTTTGATATGTAAAATTGAACCTGCAAAAATTTTGTGGCACATATGCAAATGAATAAATAAATGAAGAATGGGTTTGTATTTTTTTTACAATTTCTTTCAAGAAAGCTTCACAATCTTTCTCAATGACTCTGGCAAGTCACTTTAGTAGCCCATATTGCATCTATGTTTTGTTCCTTAAGTAGAAAACTTGAAAATTTAAAAGGCTGGAACTTAGAATTTATTATGACATTAAATGCTTCTGTCATTTTCACCTCACTCAAAAACCTGGAACAGAGAAGAAAATAAAATAAAAGCAACAAAGGAACAAGTACTTATTAAAAATAAGAGTGAGGCATGTCCGCAAGAATCATTGGCAGATTCTGCAAAAGTAAAAACACCATGACTATATGTGGATATTTTTGTTTACTTCCTGTACTTTTTAGTTTTCAGACGAATAATGAGAACTGGGCCAGGGATCAGAGCTTCTTCGTCCAATAGTTGGGCTCCATATTTTCCAGGGGTCATATGTTTGTGCTGCCATGGCATCAGGACTGTGAGGTGCAGCAGTTGTAGGAGAACTAGATACAGGGCACGTGTTTTCAGATCCCATTAAATCGATGCCGGGTAAGGACGTGGCTGGAGTGGCATATGGAAGGCTGGTGTTTGGATTACTTGACCATATGGAGCTGCCAAATGGATTTGTGGTGGACCACAAGCTGCCGGTGTTCCCAAGAATAGACTGCAATGAAATAAATGTCACAAAATTTATGCAAACTGTGTTTAGGAAACTGGAGATATCAAAGCAAATAAAGATCAAATTTCTTATGAGCTTTCAAACCATACAATGGAACAATTGCATCTCTTTTAGTTCACCTTATCAGTTATTTCTAAGGTCTGATATATGACAGATCACACTATGCAACAGAATGACCTGCCGGTTAAATTTTTTTGTCAATCAAATTTTTTATTGAGGCACATAGCTGGCAATTTAAGCAGTACAGCGGTGATATTAATACAGAATATGCAATTCTGGGGTGTGACAGATTACTGATTATCAGCTGATGTACGGAGCACAACACAAACACACTCATACTACTGGTTACCTTTAGTTAAATGAAGACACCGTAAAAGATAAAATAAGATAAAAATTGATTTTTACTGTTAATCCTTTTCTATAAAGTCCATAATTGACACAGGATTTGATTCCTGGTTCATCTCTGAAAGCAGGACCAAAAATAGAATCAACAACTCCACCTCAAACTACGCACAGCAGTCATCCTCCCTAACAAATCTTGTTCAATTAAGCAGAAATAAAATGATAGCCATTCCCCTGGCAGGGGTGATAGTATAACAGTGTCAAAAACAGCAGGAATGTTTCCATGAGTGTTATTCTTCTCAACTTTAATCAAAGGAACTCCAATGAACAAAAAACAAAACAGAAACATGCTATGCAGTGACGTGATAACTAGCATTGAGAAAAACTACAAAGATTGGGTAATCTACCTTGTGATGGAAATGAAAACATAACATGAAGTAGAGATTACTGACAAGGCAAGCACAATAAGTGTAAAAAGACAGTAGCATAAGCAGAGCAGCCCAACACAGGCAAAAATCCAAAGTACTACACATCGCTACAGAAAATAGGAAAGAAATGTGCATATGCTGCAATCTGAACGCCTATTGGATGTGACGCATGAAGCTGGAAAAGCTGGCTCCAAGACTGAGTTGCTGATTAAACATACCATGACCTTCAGTTCAACTGCAATAAACAGTGTAAAGACAGACCTCTT